CTATCTTATCTTTTTAACTTTCGTAGTCTGGGCATTTCAATCACCCCCCGTTAGACTCCCGTCGTCTGCGTCGCGCTTGATACATCTGAGGATCCGTTGCCAGGCGTTGGGATTCTAGAGGTGGCTCCCGCCCTAGGCATAGCACTTTGTCCCGCATAACACTTAGTTCCCGATTTTCGACTGACAACCGGGCTCTGATACCATTTGTAACGACCCGGGTCTCACTTAACGGATTGCCTCGACTGTTAGATCGACGACGTACTGTCCCCACTGTACCAACATGGGTCTTTTCAGCATGCTTTGTACTCACTCGCACGCTCCCGAAAAAACTTCGCAAGGGGTCACCATCATAGAATTGCTCCAAGCCAAGCACGCTTAACTGTAGAGTTTCTAACGATGGATTTCCGAAAAAGAAGGTGCACCTTGTTGGTATGAGTAGTACCTATCAAATCTTTTAAACTTTCCTAGCCTGGGTATTACACGTACCAAATTGTTTTGAACTTCTCAAAATTATGTTCGATGCAAAGTACAAATATCTTTATGTTCTTTTCGTTTCCTCTTCTTCGTACTCAAGACTTACTCCTAATTAAACCACTATGGATTGCGTGATTTGGTTTATTTTAATTTCGTCTACCGAATGAACGCGGTTACAGTTTCGATAGATTTTTCTGTCTCAACTCTCTTCTCAGAATCTTTCCCGAGGCTGATTTCGGAATGTTGTCGATAAAAATCACTCTTCGCAATCTCTTGAACGGTGCAACCTGCGATCAGTATTGGGAAAATTACACATTTGTCAAAAAATTAAATAAATAAGAAAATATATGGAATTAAATTAATTAATTACCTGCTCTGCTATAAATCTTTTAACCTCTTCTTGAGACAGTGAGCTGTTGGATGACCGGACAATGTATGCAATTGGGACTTCACCAGCTTCGGCGTCCGGGAATCTACAAAATGCCTTTTTTTTATAGATTACTCGCGCAGTATAGTAAATTTTTAAGCTTAGCTAAAGCATGAGTCTGTCTACTTACGGGATAACAGCAGCATCTGTTATTTCGGGGTGAGTAAGAAGAAGCTCTTCGAGCTCTGCCGGTGCCACCTAACAAATTGTAATTATAAGCATCTTTACAAAACATTTAAGTCAAAAGGTCAACAAAAAATTAAGTAAAAATTAATTGACTGATTTCATGGAACCCGTAACTTTTCAATCATACATTTCATCAACTTTTATCAAAATCTATTGTTAGCTACGCCAAACATGAGCTTAGTTGAAGTTTTTTATTTTCCTGAGTCATACTTTAGAATTTCGTATATTCCAACTTGTTCGAGAGAAAATTTAGTAATTCTTGAATTTTGGGAATAACGAGTTTTCTTGACTTGCAATATCTATGTAGTGTTATTCTATACTATTTCCACAGATGCACTTAATGAACTATGTTGGATCAATTGCACAAGTCTATGTAATTGGTTATGTTATGAATTGAGAAAGAAATGGTTAAACAACTAGATTATGCAAATTTGGTTAATATTTTCGTTCTTAAAGCCGCAAGACGAGTAGGATTTAAGTAATAACTTGGTTTTTGGATATTACATTTTTTTTATCATATTACCAATCGGTTGGATCGTATGTACGATGATTTATTTCACTAGCGAGGTATCTGGTTCATCGTTGAGTTTTAATTTAATAGATTTAGTTCTGTAAAACTCTCATGAAAATGGAAAAAAAAATTGAATCAATACTACGATTTGAGAATCCAATTTCTGAAGTTCACCTCAGTCCTCAAAAATTGCATCTGCAACCTAGACCACAAAGCATAAC